TCTCACTGTTCAAATAAACCTACCATTAAAATTATAGACTGATCATTTCTTTGTCAGTGGGCAAATGTACAAAATCAGCAGGGGATCAAATACTTCTTTCCCTCACTAGGTAGGAGCTACCGAATGTCATTTTTGGTGAGTTTGGACATTTACAAGCGAATTGGAACAAGAGACATTGTGCAAATGAACAAAGTTTTGATGCATGCTTGTCTGAAGGAAGAACAGTACTGGCTCTGGAGCAGCATGTGTATGCTACACCTGTGTCTGTGTAGAGTCTGGAGTCAATAGGGCAACGGACCTGCCTGCTCTGCTCTGAGGGGAGAGGAGAGGAGAAGATGGGCAGAGAACAGAGAGGAGAAAAATGCAAGGAAATCAAGATGGTGGCAGCTGTACAAATAACTCATCCAAAGGGCTTTTGACTTCTCAAACATGGCAGAAAGCTAACACAATATGATGCCCCGTCACCTTATTAATTCAGCCACATGCAGATTAACTAGCAAATTCAATTTAGGGCTCGCGTTAATGCAGAATTCTGCGCTTTTCACGCAGGAAAGAAAGATAAAACGCATAAGAAATATCTTGCTGCGTTTTGTAAATGCAGATGTAAAATGCTTCTTATTGTAATTTCTGCTTGGCATCAGACTAATTTCGTGCTTCAGTTGCACTTCACTCAGATGATAAATCATGAACTGGCATTCTTATCAGCAGACAGCGCTCTGACTGATGTGTAGTTACTTCTCTCCAGTACTTTTCTCAGTTAAGCCGGCCTACTTTTCTCCAGTAAAATGCAAGATTAACTTTAAGCAAAACATTAACGATAAACATTATAAATATGATGGCCATGCATCGTTTTTGCAAAAAATACCTTGCTTTTTCAATGTAAGCTCATTTACTTGTGTGGCTGCCAGCCAAATAGCGTTGCACTCATGTTGTCATCTGATAAAAATGAAGCTATTTTCTGCCGAATGTGTTGCACTAATGTATTTTCTGTGAAGGAAAACTATAGTACGTCCCTGATCACTCTATTGAAGCAAAAAAAACACTGTTCACTTTCAATATAAAAAGCGACCCCTGTCAATACACAGCTGGACTCACCTGCTCCTTCTTTTTCTCCCATTGTGCTATTTACAAACAAACACGTGACTGGCTCAACTGTTCTGGGAAACTATGGTAAGCTTCATAATGTAAAATAATGTTACAAGTGAAATGAAGAACGCAATCTGCTTTATCTCCTAACGTATTGCACAGGTTGACACCAGGTATTTACTTAAAAAGTAGCTACAAATATTAAAATGTATTGTAAAACTTCACAGAAATAGTTTCAATGGTATTGACAGTATTGAAAAACCATTCCCTGGCTATTTCCAAATACCACGGTATAGGGTATATACGGTATACCACCCAAGCCTAGTAGTTTGTGAGCTAGAATATGATCATCCTGACAGTCTGAGGCAGGGTGCTCTGCAATAATCCTACACCAACTATTGACAGGGATAACGTGGAATTTCTTATTTGTCAGTATGAATGCAATTTGTGGGTCCTGCCTTGATGACTGTATTAGATTTACACTACTTGTCCTATAGATTTTTGTAGTCAAATTATAACTTGGAATAAACTGAAAGCTAAAACGCTCCTTGTCCCGGAATGACATGCTAGCTAGTGATAAAGCTAGCTATCTGTTCCTGCTAGCTAGCAACAGATCTACTTGTTGTAACTAGCTAGCTACTTTACTAAGGTTGTGGTGTTCTACGTTGGGAGTCATTTTACAGCTTGCATTGATGGTATCACTTTTCTATAACTAAATAGTTAGATAACAAAGAAAAAATAAAAACTTTACTTGATAGCAGTTTGTCAGACGGAGATCGCTCTCGCGATGTCACCAGCTGTGTATACCTTAGACACGGATAACGTGATTGGCAAACGTGACCAGCAGAGATAGTACCATGGATAGTACACAAGTTTTGATTGGTGTACAGTTTAGTACTCTGCGGCGTTTGCCTGTCCAGCTACTGAACATAAAAGTTAGACTTTTAATAAAATGTGCAAGAATTGACGTTGCCAACAAACGGAAATGTGTTCAGAATAAATAAATATGTAAAAAAACAGCTCCTCCCTCGACAGAGATCGATCATCTCGAAAACTAAAGCAGATAGCTTGCTACAGCCCACCAGCTAGAGGGCTCTTCTACTCTAAATGAAATGCAGGCAGGGGTTTCCTACTTATCAATTGATAATCAATATATGACATTATAATATCCTAATATTTACATGATATCATAATACTGAAATTGGCCATAATTAACCAACTGTATCCAAATAATCCTAATTATTGACCATGATTGGCCAATTGTATTTCTAATAAGAGATTAGCTACTTCAACATGTTTAAAATTTAAAGTCACATATTATTGAGCTTTATTCACAGTAAATGGGTATGTATACTCTGTAGGCCAAAAAGGAGTTCTTCAAGATGATGTAATCACGTCTTTATTCATTAAATTCATATTTGCTAAGATTTGTTTTCTTCAAGCCATTTTTCAGTACCACAAAATAAGAAATAATACAAAAAGAAACTTGGCGGCATTTTGTCTTTTAAGACATTGCAAGAGATGAAACAACAATAAAAAGAAACAGAATGGTTTTTGAACGTTCGCTTTAGTTGTACTGTAACATGTAGTAGATCAAAATTAAAAAGATGTAATATATATGTATATATTTATATATTTATATTGATATAGTTTAAAAAATAAAAGCAGAAATGTCTGTCTCATTAATTCACAATAATCCTCTTAAAGTATTCACACGCAAGAGCTTGATATATTTGAATATATGTACACATAATAAATAACAATTATATTTACATCCAAGTACACTGCCTTTCTGTCTCTACCAAGAACACAGCAGGACACAACAGAAGTACATACTGTAGCAGAAAATGTTGCCCCAAAACAGAGGGTATGTGGGCCTCCATCCCTCTATATTTACACTGTCCTCATATAAACAAGTCCTCTCTTTAACATTCATTCTTTTTTTAAGTCCTCACTCCTTTCACCCCTCACTCCACAAAGGTATTCTCTAAATTGCCCAGACCCATTAAAAAATATATGTCAACATATACTGTATACACTATAATGTTTAGAATAGTTTCATATATTGTAAAATGTCCCATATAGCCAAATATAATCTAGATATCTATAAAGGTAGTATATATTGACATATACATCGTTTTTTCTAATAATGGTGGGTCCTGTTCAAACAAGTACACCACACAAAACTCCATTATCTCAAAGAATCATTCCTAAAATGCATTACTCTTCCTGTAAAGTCTGAGTCTCACCATTAGTATCTAACACCAAGTCTGCTGGCTCAGCTACAACCTGCTGCTAGTGATCTTAAATAGACACTTTGCTCAGATAAGCAGCTTCATTGACCAACCTTTATGTTTAAATAATCAATGGGTTAGTTCGTTTTGCATGCCCCGGTGCCACGGGCGGGTGGAGATTTCACTTAAGGACCAATGGAATGGCCAAAAGAAAATTAACTCTGCCCACCCGGCGCACCAGGCCAGGCAAAACAAACTAGCCTATTACCTAATCACTAACACGTCCTTTTCTGTCACTTGAACAAATATCAATAGAGACCAAAAGCATCTAGAACGTCAACAAATTACAAACTGCTTTTAGCTGTCGCCTATGTAGTTTCGAAACGAAGAACAATGCAAAAAAGAGGTCATCCTGGGATTGATCAAGCCATTTTGTGTCAGTTGTTGTCGCCACATGGTGGGCCATCCTCAGTCACTGCAGCTACTGACAGCACAGAGGAACCTACATGTACTGCATCACTGCAGTTCCATCAAAAATTTAGAGATCTCCAATTGGTTTATACAACTGATCCTGTCATGCAATCCTGCCCCTTAGGGTTCTGAAGCCTCATTTCGATATCTCAACCAAGCACGCCTCTCACCAGTCCACCAGTTACCACGTTACAATGCAACACACTTCTGAAAAACACATCTCACATCCCTTAAAACGGCTTCTGTATCCTAAGCTTTTGGTTGTTTCTCCTTTGTGATTTGGTGTGGTGGTGTGGTGTGTTCTTATAGCACACATAAAGCCACAGGGGGAGGATGTGTGGATGGATCTCCCCATTTACCTGAATCATAGATGTCTTTACCTCGTTCCTAATGTTAACAGATTATCCTAATCTGTGTACACAACCAATAAACTTTGATTTGATTTAGATTTAACCATGTGAATTAAGCAGAAGAACTGGCCAACAGTCATGCCTCAAATCTGACACTTACACCAGTAGTGTTCAATGTTGTCCTTCAAGCCCCTTTTTGTAGATAGGTTGGTAAAACTGTGTTTTACTCAAACTCTCTATCATACATCCTCTTTACACTGTCAGTTATTATGATGTCCTAGACAAAATCTGCAGGATAATTTATTGTCTCTACTTTTACATTATTTGATAACTGAAGTAGTAGTATTGGTAGTATTTGGCTTGATTTAAATAGATTCTACAGGTTTTTTATTTCAAATAATTTCACCCACACAGTCTTGCTCTTTATAATATATGAATATCATGCCAATGACAATATAACAAGAGCTTTTCCAGTAGTGTGTTACGCTTGACTCCAATCTTCACCCCAACCTAAATGTTCAGTTGATTGCCTCATATTGTGGACAGCAGATCAATAGATCTAAAACCTGCATACAAAGGGGCTTGAAGAGCGGCTTTGAATACCACAGTCTAAACTATTATTTTTCTCCCCCTTTCCCATTGGTCCTCCATGCCTCTGTCCACCATTCATAGTGCAGTGCGTCCTAGGACCGCCCCGGAGTAGCAGTGAGTAGTATAACCATTTAGGACTGTACCAAATGAATGCTATTGATACAGGTGCTATGTGGTACGGTTTAATTATTGTAAACGTTTGTATAAGCTGAATTTAACTGATCGGCAGTGTTCTGGAGGGCCATAGATCTACAGCAAATAGAATCTAGATCTCTGTGGACTCTATCCTCTCCAGACGGGTGGGCACCGGCCAGGGGGGGGCCAGCTGGTGGAGGGTGGGGGGGAGATTCTTGTCCTCGGCGAGGGGAGGTGGGGAGAGAGAGAGGGAGGGTAGGGGGGTGACGGGGGCGGGCAGGGGGATGGGGGCCAGGGACAGTGGGGGTGGTGAGGTGGGCGAGGGGGTGGTGTTGGTGGAGGTGAGCTTGGAGCCCAGGTGGCCCACGCGGAGCTCCAGGGCCTGGTTCTTCTGCAGGGTCTCCACGTAGCTAAGCTGCAGCTGGGCCTGGTACTTGAGCACACGCTCCTTTTCGTCCATCCACACGTGGCGCTCCTTCTTGAAGGTGAGTGCCTGTCGCTCGCGCTGCTGCCGCTCCAGACGCAGCTCGCCTTGGAGGCGCTCCAGCTGCCGGCGCAGATCCCCCGCCTCCTCCCACTGCTGGTGGGCCTCCTGGTGCTGTTGATGGGCCTCCTGGCGCTGCTGGTGGATTTCCTGCCGCAATTGAGCCTCTTGAAGCTGGTGGGCCTCCTGACGCTGGTGGGCCTCCTGACGCTGGTGGGCCTCCTGACGCTGAACTTTAGCTTCATCGCTCTGCAAACTCAGTATGGCATCTGGGGGAGGTACAGGGGGTGGAGGCAGGGCCGGGTAGGAGAAGGCAGAACCCTCAAGTGGGCTGTGTGGGGAGGAAAGCCCCACTCTGGTCCTGGATACTTCCCTGCTCCCTCTGCCACCTCCACCCCTAGCCTCGATAGCCCTATCCCTCGCACTGAGCTCACCCAGGGCCCGCTTCAGCCCCACCACCTCAGCCTCAAACATGCCCAGCTTGTCCCTCAGCAGAGAGACCTGGAGAGACACAGGGAGGGGAGGCAGGAGGGTCAATCAGGAGTTAAAGAGAGAGGAAGTGGGGGTTAATTCACTTGAAGTCCTTACAAGGATAGTATAACAAGGAACATTCGGAGAAGTGGGGACATTCCGTGGGTTCCCACAAGGAAAAAGGCTATTTTAGGCTTAGGGGTTAGGTTTAGGGTTAGGGTTAGATTTTGAGGTTAAGGTTTAGGGAAAATAGGATTTTGAATGGGAATCAATTGTTTGGGTCCTCACAAGGATAGTAAAACAAAACTGTGTGTGTGTGTGTGTTTTTGAGTGAGTGTGTGAGTGAGTGAGAGAGAGTAAGTGTATGTGAATGCCTGTATCTGTATGCATGTGAGTGACTCGAGAGTGCAAAACTTGTGGTGCACAGAGCAGAACAACTCTACAAATTGTAGCTAGTGTTTCAGGTCTGTCTACCTCGGTCAGCGTCCTTTGCAGCTCCCCCTCGCAGCGCTCCAGCTCCAGGCTCTTAGTGCTGTAAGAGTCCTTGAGGCCCAGCATGGCCTCCTCCCGGTCCCTCAGCTGGGCGTTGGCCTCCTTCAGCTGGCCCCGCAGGGCCACCATCTCCCCCGCCCGCTGGGTCACCTCCGCCTGGCTCTCCCTCAGCTGCTGCTTCAGCAGGGAGATCTCCCCCGCCTTCTGACACACCTGGGGGGGAGGGGGGGGAGGGGGGATGAAAGGTATGAAGATGGTGGAAATAGAGATCAACAAACATGTCTCTGTCTAATGGATGTGCACATACAGTATAGGACAGCTATTGCATATTTGATCATTGGTTTTAGACAGTACTGCCCTTTTGTCCTTTTTTTGCATGGACATCAAGTAGTAGTTGTTATGCTCAGCCCTCACCCATCTCCCTTGTATCCCACACCCAGCCACACACACCACCCCCTTAACCCCAGGTAGTCCCACCCCCCTATCTCACCTCCCACTTGGTCTCCTCCAGGCGAGGCAGGATGTCAGCCTGCTCCTTCCTGTAGTCCAGGCACTTCCTCTCCAGCTCCTCCCTCTGGGCCAGCAGTGCAGCCATCTCCTCCTGCAGGCGCCGCTTATCCTGCGACAGACGGCTGATCTGGGCCTGCAAGGCACTCTGGGAGCGCTGGGCGCGACGCGTCACCTGGGTAGAAATACAATTAGTAGAATGGACATTCCCCATTCAAATCAACATTCGGCAGTGGGTATGCTAGTGGCAACCATATTGAATGTACCATTTGGAATAAAATTAGAGAGCAGTGAGAAAATAATCTCTTTGCACAGAACTTTACTCTGCATCTCTAAACTGCTCCTTTAAGCTCATTATTTGCCTTTTCTCAGTGTTTTGCCATGCAGTCATGGCTAATGCTATTGTGCTATATGATATTGGGTATAGCCTACCATCCCACAATCTGTGAACTGAGGAGCCATTCTATAACTTTAATATACAGTATATTCTGCAATTCTAATATCTATCTATTGTAGTTGTGTGGTCACCTGCTGCAGGCGCGAGGCGTAGTTCTGCCGCAGCTCGTCCATCTGGCGCTCCCACACGCGCTGCTTCTCCTCAAACACCTGGACGATGGCCGCCTCGCTCTGGTCCAGGTTACGGCGCATGTGGAGCACCTGGGAGAGGGGAGGAGGAAGGGAACTCGGGTGTAATTAACATGTATTGTGAGCTTCTCATCTTTTCATCCACTGCAGGAGGTGGGGATGGTTATTTAACAAAATGGCTGACATCCATTATCAAGGTAAGTGAATGATGACCAGTTACTGCCCCACTAGTCTTTCATATTTCTTTGTACTTCTCATATGCAATGTCAATTAAATGCATTTTAGGTGTTGCACTATGTCTCCTTGCATTGCATTGTATGGGGGTAACACACTTCATCCACCAGCTACCACCAATGTGTACCCATCCACTATCACATATCGCTACTTCCAAAGCCCTCAGTACTTGAATACCTTGCACTACTATTTCAGACCCAAGGCCTAACGTGTCTTACCTGCTTGACCGTCAGCAAATAAGAATACAGTTGTCTGCTCAGCAAGTTTCAGGCACACCCAACGGTTTTACCGGTTTATTCTTAAGCCATAGACAGTATTATGTACAGTAAGATCACTGGTACAGTTACCCATGCCCTCTACAGGTCATGCAAACACCTCAAATTTCAAATAACAGCTTTTTGTGATTACACTCCCCTCCATATGTACTTGGACAGTGACGCAAAATTTTTACATTTGGCTCTATACTACTCCACATTTTGGATTTGAGATCAAATGTTTTATATATGAGGCGACAATACAGAATGTCACCTTTTATTCGAGGGCATTTACATACATACGTTTTACCATTTAGAAATGAAAGCACTTGAATCTAGCACATGTATCTAGTCCCCCCATTTGAGGAGGAAGTAATTTGGAAAAGTATTTGGACAAATTCACTTGAAGTGTATTAAGGTAGTCAAAAGTTTAGTATTTGGTCCCATATTCGTAGCACGCAATGACTACATCAAGCTTGTGACTCGTTGGATAAATGTGCAGTTTGTTTTGGTTGTGTTATATTTTGCCAAATAGGAACTGAATGGTGAATGATGACTTGAGTAATTTTCTTTCTAAGTGAATAGATAAGTTGTTTCTGAACACTTCTAATTAATCCTGATAATGTCATCATGAATAACGATGAGTAAGAAGGTTACAGAGGCTAAAACAAAACATGCTACCTCTCACCATTGCGCGATGCCAGCATAGCCCGAAAATATTTTTGGTATCTCAGATTGTTCTGGCAATTCTCACATACTTAGAGACAAGATATATTATAGTGTTTTATATATTATATAGTGTTTTATTTTTCATTAATTGTTTTGCAAATGTTAGAATTGTTCTTCCACTTTGACATTAGAGTATTTTGTGTAGATCATTGGCAAAACAATCCAACTTTGTAACACAACAAAATGTGGAAAAAGTCCATCAATGGGTGTGAATACTTTCTGAAGGCACAGTATAGGTCTAAAAAGAGCTGAAAATGGCCACTTTCATAATGGTTTTCTCAAAAATGGTTTGTGATACAAATGTAAAAAGCATGTTAAATATCCTTCCTCCCAATACATTTTTTATGTGAGAATTGCCTGAACAATCTGAGGTACCAAAAATATTTTCGGGCCATGCTGGCGTGGAATCGCCCCATTACCAATAACAGAGGAGGTTGGCATTTTGTGGCGGGTATGGTCTTTGAGCCTCTCACTTTCTCACTCATAATTTTTCGTGATTCATTCATGATTATCCATAATCATGTTAGCATCCACATTAATGTAGAAGTGTTCAGAAACATCTTCTATTCTTACTCGCAATGAAAGTGACTCCAAAATGACACAATATATTATTCACCATCCATTTCCTATTGGGCAAAATATAATCCCGAAACACAACTGAAACAAACTGCAAATGGGTCACAAGCTTGATGTAGTCATTGAGTGCAAGAAATATGGGACCAAATAATACACTTCTGAATACTTTAAGACACTTGAAGTGAATTTGTCCCAATACTTATGACTTCCTTAAATGGGAAGACTAGATACATAAAGTGCTTTCATTTCTAAACAGTAAAACAGATATGTAAGAAAATACCCCCCAAAAAAGGTGACAATTCTGTACTGTTACCTCATATGAAACATTTGATCTCAAATACAAAATGGTGGCGTATAGAGCCAAATGTTAAAGTTTTGCTTCACTTTCCAAATACATATGGATGGGAGTGTATATAAAATAACTGTATTCACTGTGCTATAGTTGTGATAATTTGCACTATTTGGTACCATTTGTTTGTTGCTTCCTTCTACAATATCATCTCAAGACTCCTCCCTTCTGAACCCCCCAATATCCACCCTCTCCCTTTTCGTCCCTCCCTCTCCCTCTTTCTTGCCTCATCTCCCTCTCCCTCACTCTCTCTCTCTCTCTCTCCTCACCTCTTGCTCTCTCTCCCATAGCCGGTCCTCCAGGTCCTGGATGACGTCATCGGAGGAGGGAGAGGGGCGTAGCGGTGCGGGGGCGTCACTCAGGTGGCTGAGCCTCTGATAGGACAAGGAGCTCTTCCCGGAGGAGGAACGACCACTATCCGAGGCGCTCAGTCCGTTCTGGTAACCACTATTAGCGCCGCTACCGCTAACTCCACCAGGCTTTTCCAACTTCTCCAGGGCCCCCGTGGCCCCCAGGCGGTTGATGTGGCTGGTAGAGGCGCTCAGGGGCCCCAGGACAGGCGGGGGCCCATAGCCCGAGCCAGCATAGGTGGGCAGGCTGGTTAGAGAATTCCTCCCTGAGTCAGATAGGCTCCCCTGGCCTACGCCCCTGCTGCTGCCCCCTCCTCCGCCTCTGGTACCTCCACCTCCACCCCGGCTGCTAGGGCTGTCTGTGTCTCTGAGGGGTCCTGTTACACTGGGACACCCACCACCTGCAGCACCTCCTCCGGCACTGCGGCCCACTCCTCCGGTTTGGGGGGGGCACACCAGATTCTGCATGGAGTGGAAGCTCTTGGGCACCACAGGCTTAAAGGCCGATGGGCGGACCAATCCATCATTGCTCTGGATGGGGGTGGAAAGCAAATGGCATTAGTGGTGAAATATAACGCGAGGATTGTACAACATACATTATCTGACAATTAGGTCTACAGGGATTATGAATATGCTGCTAAATGTATAATTACTTAAACAGCCAGCATACTGAAGCTAAATGTGAATTTCAGTGATCTTACATTCCCTGATTACAAGGGGGATTCATCTTATTTACTATAGTTTATTAATATACCGGTACACAAACTATATGTAGATATACATGTACCTACCTTTTCATAAATCTAATATAAACAACAGTAATAGCTAAGGCTAATGCTATTACAATGCATGGAGGAGTTGACAGGAGGGGAGATCATATTTCATGTAAATATCTCCCTGTCATAATGGGCAGCACTGATTTACAGCCGCTAGGTAACAAAGTACAGTATATCAATTTATGACAGCGTTTTATTGCCTGCACCATAACTCATAGATACACATGCCTGTATGTACAAAATGAACAACACACACTTTCAACATGAACCGTCATACTCAACCTACAGCCTGTATTTGGAGACACACACACACACACAGTGACCCACCTGAACCTGCTCCATCTTCCCAGAGATGGGGAGGATGTTGGGGGGGTTGTTATGGTTGTCCACCTTGGCTGCGCTGGCACCCGCCTCCTTGTACTGAGCCAGCTGTTGGCTACTGTTCTTATCATTGTTCAGCACGTTGTTCCCGCAAATATCCAAACTCACCGTCCCTCTTGGCACCTCTCTACCCCCATCACGCCCATCCCTCTGGCCCTGCCCATCCCTCTGGTCACGCCCATCCCTCTGGTCACGCCCATCCCTCTGGTCACGCCCATCACGCCGCCCGCCTCCATTCAGAAACACTGCATTGGCAACCTGCCTCTCGCTGTTACCCGCCGCCGCTCGGTTCCCATTGGAAACGCCCCGATTGCCATTGGAGACCTGTCTGTTGCTGTTGTTATGGACAGGGGTCCTCTCTCTCTCTGCCCCCTCGCAGAGCGGTGGAGGACGCTCACTGCCGTAGTAAGAAGAAGAAGTGTTCTCGACGGTGGCAAAGCTGCGTTCGTCCGCCGTAGTCCCCTTAGCATGGGTCAGGGGAGGAGGTTGCTGTGAGGACCTCTCAATGCTGTAACTCCTATCTTCCAAGCTCCTGCCCCTGTGGGTGGAGTTGGAGGTGGAGGAGGAAGAGGAGGGGGGTGGTGGGGGGGCGCGAGGCAGGCTGTTCTGCTGGGTGGTGCGGGTGCCCACGCTCCGCATGGCGATCTCCTGCTGCTGTTGCTGCTGGCCAGAGGAGGTGGTGGTCCAGGAGGATTCCCCACTGGCCACACTGCCCATGCCCTGGGGGCGCCCCCCCTCACTCAGCCCCCCGCGCTCCACACGCGCTATGATGGAGGGCAGGGAGGCAGCACCTGCCGACACACACTGCAGGACACACAGAGACAGGGAGAGGGGAGAGAGGGGGAGAAAGGGTTCATTAGGAGTAAGGTACAGACACACAAACCGTTGTACACACGCACACTCTGTAAGTAACATAATTATTTAATAATTATAGACGACATACAGACACAAGGAAGAGAGTTAAGGGGTTGACATACTGTACAGTTGACACACACACACATATTTAGTGACCATACACACATGATCTATAGAGTGAGACATACTGTATTGTAGGATATGACTGTTGATTCATATCTTTGCACTACGCTAAAAGTTCCATAGGCCTATACGCCATTTTCTCATGCAATGTAATACTGACTGAAACTCCCCCTCCTCCTCCTCCCCTCTGGGACACTGATACAGTGGGTGAGGTCATCCTTTCACCCACTCCTTACTTCTCTCCACCCGTGCTCTCCCCCCCTCACCATAGCAATGAGTTCCCAATTCCCTGTTCCCTCCTCTCCTTCTGTCTCTCTCTGAGATAGGAGTCATACTATACACCCTGCAAAAGCTCTTAAGGCGATTTGAACTCTTTTAAGAACAAGGTTACTTTGACACTAATAGAGATTTCTTGAGCATTCAAATCTGATGTATTTTTAAAAAACATTATATGAAGTACATTGAATGTATGATTGAAGTATCAATTAGAGTACTTAATTTCAGTATGCATTCCCTTATACGGTTACTCCTCATTCCACATCATATCAAAATTCACATTAAAATGTATTTTTTCCACTGAGAAAATTGTTTATGCAACAATAATGAAAGCCCATCTCATATAACTGTAAAAACTGTTGATACAGTGAGGGAAAAAAGTATTTGATCCCCTGCTGATTTTGTACGTTTGCCCACTGACAAAGAAATTATCAGTCTATAATTGTAATGGTAGGTTTATTTGAACAGTGAGAGACAGAATAACAACAACAAAAATACAGAAAAACGCATGTCAAAAATGTTATAAATTGATTTGCATTTTAATGAGGGAAATAAGTATTTGACCCCCTCTCAATCAGAAAGATTTCTGGCTCCCATGTGTCTTTTATACAGGTGACGAGCTGAGATTAGGAGCACACTCTTAAAGGGAGTGCTCCTAATCTCAGCTTGTTACCTGTAAAAAAGACACCTGTCCACAGAAGCAATCAATCAATCAGATTCCAAACTCTCCACCATGGCCAAGACCAAAGAGCTCTCCAAGGATGTCAGGGACAAGATTGTAGACCTACACAAAGCTGGAATGGGCTACAAGACCATCGCCAAGCAGCTTGGTGAGAAGGTGACAACAGTTGGTGCGATTATTCGCAAATGGAAGAAACACAAAATAACTGTCAATCTCCCTCGGCCTGGGGCTCCATGCAAGATCTCACCTCGTGGAGTTGCAATGATCATGAGAACTGTGAGGAATCAGCCCAGAACTACATGGAAGGATCTTGTCAATGATCTCAAGGCAGCTGGGACCATAGTCACCACGAAAACAATTGGTAACACACTACGCCGTGAAGGACTGAAATCCTGCAGCACCCGCAAGGTCCCCCTGCTCAAGAAAGCACATATACAGGCCCGTCTGAAGTTTGCCAATGAACATCTGAATGATTCAGAGGAGAACTGGGTGAAAGTGTTGTGGTCAGATGAGACCAAAATCGAGCTCTTTGGCATCAACTCAACTCGCATGTTTGGAGGAGGATGAATGCTGCCTATGACCCCAAGAACACCTTCCCCACCGTCAAACATGGAGGTGGAAACATTATGCTTTGGGGGTGTTTTTCTGCTAAGGGGACAGGACAACTTCACCACATCAAAGGGACGATGGATGGCGCCATGTACCATCAAATCTTGGGTGAGAACCTCCTTCCCTCAGCCAGGGCATTGAAAATGGGTCATGGAAAGGTATTCCAGCATGACAATGACCCAAAACACACGGCCAAGGCAACAAAGGAGTGGCTCAAGAAGAAGCACATTAAGGTCCTGGAGTGGCCTAGCCAGTCTCCAGACCTTAATCCCATAGAAAATCTGTGGAGGGAGCTGAAGGTTCGAGTTGCCAAACATCAGGCTCGAAACCTTAATGACTTGGAGAAGATCTGCAAAGAGGAGTGGGACAAAATCCCTCCTGAGATGTGTGCAAACCTGGTGGCCAACTACAAGAAACATCTGACCTCTGATTGCCAACAAGGGTTTTGCCACCAAGTACTAAGTCATGTTTTGCAGAGGGGTCAAATACTTATTTCCCTCATTAAAATGCAAATCAATTTATAACATTTTTGACATGCGTTTTTCTGGATTTTTTTGTTGTTATTCTGTCTCTCACTGTTCAAATAAACCTACCATTAAAATTATAGACTGATCTTGTCTTTGTCAGTGGGCAAACGTACAAAATCAGCAGGGGATCAAATACTTTTTTTCCCCTCACTGTATTAAAGGGCTAACAAATAGCCTAGCTGATCAATAGGATTTGTTCGAGCCAATGCAAATGATTATTCCTTGATTATCAAGTTTTCAATCCAAACATGACAAATATTAACTACATTCTACATCTACATTAACAGATTGTACCTCAATTGCAGATCCTGAATACACAATCATAGAAGGAAAGCTTACTGTGCTCTCTGCTCACACAACCTTCTTGTCTTGTTCCTTTCTCTCACTATCTCACACTCTACTTTGTGATTGGGTAGCAGAGCAGGTCTTTTGCACACCTGTTATTCTGCATGTTAACCCCTTGCCTTCTGACACACACAAACACAAATGCAAACATACACACAGAGGTAAGTTGTTCCCCCTGTGCCAATGAGAATGACAAAAACACATTCTCTATCAACACTCTTTCTAATGGAAGGAAAAACATGGGAGACAATTGTCAATACTTCATTGTCCGTGTATGTATCACTGAGTGCAATAAGGAACACTATCCATATTTGTATTATATCCCTGTCCCTGAACCACACCCACTGGGAGCACTGATTACTCACCAGAATATCTATCACTGATTGAACATTGACCTAAAGGAAATATGTGAATTTATAGTCCATTGTACCAAGTGTAGTCTACTACTCCTATCTGAGCAAAGATGCAGCCAAACCTTTTTGTGAATCATCTCTCTCTTTCCATCGTCTCTCCCCATTGTCTCTTCATGCCTGAAGCCAAGCCGGTGCACATGAAGCTACTATGCTTTTATGTTACTTTGCTATAATAAGGTGAGTATTGACATTCCATCTCAGGTAGGACATGGGAACAGATTGGGATGTGAACAGGGGAGTACTGAATCCTTAGGATAACGTGCTGAGTCCAAAACGGCATATTGTGCGATACCAGCAGAGGGCCCTGTTCCAGTGTTGGCTGAGCTGTGGCACGTGCCTACACTCGCCTCACTGGCACAGTTACACACTCCTAGGCATTACATCATCGGCTCCATGCTTCAAATAGAGAGCGCGCGCACACAAGCAGGCACTCTCTCTGGTGCGCGCTCCCCCCTCATTCTCACACTTCCACACATACACGCTCACGAAGGGAGTCTTCCTAATCTCCTCTCCTGTGTTGACATGCAGTATGAGGTAATTAATAGAATAATATGTGTAGCCTACACACATGCGCGCACACACACACACAGCAATACATTTTCTCCCCATATTGTCACTGCATTGTCCATACATAGACCCTTAGATACACCTCAAATGCAAACAAAGTGCCCCCCAAACAGTGACCACTGCTACCCCATTACACACCACACACACGTCATTCAAGGCCTCATATAGGCCAGGCGTAGAAGACCCCCAGAGCAGTCACATTGGGTACAGAGGTAACCACTGCACTGTAAAGGATATTCAATAATAGGCCTATTTTATCAGAGCTCCCTTGCCATTACCAGCATATTAAAACGGGCATGCTAGCTCACACTTCTAGTTCACACATATCCTCACAATAGGCTTTATATCATGTCAATAATACAGTATTTGCTACATCTTTTTGGTAGTGATGTAGGCCTACAAATCAGTCTATTCCTTTTAAGTGCCAATGTTGGTCTAAATTCTACTGCAGGCCATTTGCTCTTGGTCTGTCCATTTATACTCCATGTATTCAAAACCCTCTCCATTATTTTTGCAGCCGCTACAACAACCTCCCCATCAATCCCTTCACCGCACTGATGTGCATAGACTGTCAGCTGTAGCGGCAATGCTAAAGCACAATGGAGAAATGTTACTCGCTTCTCCATACCAGCGAAAAAGCCCTAACCCAGGCACAAAAGGCAAGTAGAACGATATAATTAACATGATCTATCCTATCTGTTTTTCTTTTCATTCACGCAATACATAATGCGTGGGTGGGTCACGCAAAGCACTCTACTACACTCGCAGTTCTCTCTCGGTGTGGGGAATCCGAAAGGAGCGAGCTCGAGCGAGCACAGCATCCGCTACAACCCGCGCGCACAACCCGCTCCGATTCCCATCTTTACTTTCACTCCAATGAGCAATATTAAAAAACACGGTCTCTCTCTCCCTCAATTTCGCTCTCCACTTATCTCTCTGCCACAACAACCTTTGAATCACCCCAAAATCCAACATGTAAAGCGGCAGGATAATGGATTGACAATGCGGTGAATGGCGATAAATATAGAAAAACGCAGGTGTAGATGTGCGCCGCGCTGCGTCGCATACTAGGTGCGCGTATTTCTCTATGGAAATGAAGGAGCGCTCGCTCAATCACCTCATAGCCTAGAACAGCTCTGCACTTACTATTAGCGGCAGAAGCAGCACAGACAACGCCGAATGAAGCCGAATAACGTCGCTCCACTGCTCCTCGGCGAGCTGTCCGATTCTGGGTTCGCTGATTGGGACGTTGGAGTGGCAGTAGGCCTATAGCCTACTCGTGTGGCTCTGGTCGGGGGAGGCTGCAGCCGCTATTGCCCGTAGCGGATATCGGGTGATGGAGACAGCGAGAAGATCCGTGTATCAGCTGTGTCACACACCCACCTCTGCCCCGCCCCTTCTGATGGACCACAGCACCGCCCCCTTCCCAGACCTGCGCCTGCGCCCACACAAAGGTGTGAATTCTTCCTCCACCTCAGAATAGCACACAATGTATTGATTCTGTTCCACACATAATACGTAGGCTACTGCTGGAAAATGGGGACCCCTGCCAATCCTATAATATATCTCTCTGTGTCTATATATTACTATGTATGCATCTGCACATTCTATTCTATATATATTTATTTGAGTACTGCACAACTGAATTACACATGACCGGGCAGGTTGAGTGTCTATGTGTGTGTGTAGCTCAGACTTCAGTTTTTAGTACCAAGGGCAAGCGAGGCCTTGGGCAAACATGATGCCCAGTTCCCAGGGGCAGAGAGAGCAGAGCTGGCTGTGTAGGTGAGGAACTGGAGCCTGAAATCAGCCTCACTCAGGACTAATCAAGAGAGAGTGAGAGAGGAGGGCTGGGAGAGATTGCAGAAAGAGACGAGAGAGAGCGCATTGAGGAGCAGGGAAAGAGGGCAGAGAGAAAGAGAAACAGCCAATGTTGAAGCTGTAGCACTAGCAGTACAGAACTGTTAACTTGTCTGGAATGGAATATTTGGTGCTGGTCATAAAGCCAACAGATACCATCTTCTATAAGAGATCAAGTTGACAAGAAGACATTTGCCTAAAATGACCAATCCAACGACAAAAAGAAGGATAGGAGAGAGAGATTGTAGGCCTTTATAGGGATACAAAAACATTACAACATACTTTCCAAGCAAAACACATCTATCCTTTCATTGCATATGAGAGTTGCTGGGTTTATTTGGAGTAAATCAGGCATTCCAGTGTCAAGAAATGTGACTCGATTCCCACTCATAATGCCTTCTTCATACAAGTCTTCTACACATAACCCCGACAACACGATTAGAAAACAGCCATGGTCCTTCACACTAACACTGACCTGCACACAAGCCACTCAAACACAATTCACCTGTTCACACACACGACTCGCTTTGCCAGTCGTAGAGCGATACATACGACTGTCAAGACTACAAACACACATACACACTTTCTGGGCCAGGTTAGCAGAGATGAATACTTGCATAGTACATACACACGCACTAAAGCAAATATGACCGTTGTCGCCACGTACATGGTGACCCACACCCACTCTGGGACATTAAAACACACACATGTATTCACATTTCATGCTGTACTGACCTACTACACATAAACAGAACACAAGACCACAGATAGGCTACACAGGGACTCCATGCAAGTACGCTAGTGAAACAGGATCTGACATCCATCTTTAATAACGCCACTGTTCTTTCTCTCCTCTTCTTTTTTAATTTCTGAGCCGCCATGGCTGAATGTCACTTAGAGACAGAAAAAAAAACTGAGGGAGTGGAAGAAGGGATACAAAGAGGAATCTCACAGCTCCACTGGTAGGCTCGTCCCTGTCGGTTCTCTCCTCATCCCTCGGCCCACTCCTCCATGTGGAGATGAACTGTAGCAATACTCACCGCGTCCCAGCCCCTCTGAGCTACCAATAGCATCCTCTCACTTCCTCCATCTGCCTCCATAAAGTAAACGCGTGCGCACAAACACACACACGACCCGGGTAGCTCTGTTGAAATAATTTCCCACTTGCCTCGCAAAATAGTTAATATTAGGGTCATAAAATAAATACATCATGTTTTGCAAATGCACCATATTCCAAACTATCTACATGAAAATCTGTACCTTCCCGTACATTTTAGTACAGTAAACCAGTGCTAGCACGTTCACACATGTACCTACATGCGTGTGTGATGTACACACAGGATCACACTCACTCATCAGTGCAAACCATCACTAAAATATGCTCCTCGACTGCCCTGCATCTTTCCTCTCCATTCACAATTTGTCAAGGTTACTATGGCAATGGTTTCTGTCCAATGGGAGAAGGGGGTGGACTCGTGACAGAATAGGGGAAAGGAACGGGGGACTTAAACTGTGTTTAAGAACAGTGCAAGCCAGATGTAAACCAACCTTATGCTCATCTACTAATAGGCTAGAGAAAGGCTACACTAACCATATCCTTAGATTATTTCTACTTACCAATGAGTGGTTTGTCTGCTGAATTCATTGCTTGACAGAGAGGACATCATGTTCACAGGGAGTCCTTCTGCCTGGCTAACCCTAAAACCTGCCTATGCATTAAGAAAGACTTCAGGAAAGACATGTGGGACAGTGCTGGGTAGAGAGGTATATTTAGAGCCATCTGATTGTCCATGAAGAGGAGAGAAGGTCATCAGTCCCTATAGTCACATATACCCCAGGATACCTACTCTATACAACAGACAGGGTTCATATTTCAATCATGCCCAGGGGTGTTAAGATGTTCCCCTGACAAATAAAAACATCCTCTCACACAAGCACAAGCCATTAAAAAGTTACCGTTGGAATTACAGTAACTGGAAAATATTGACATTGGTCCAGCAAACTTTTCTTTGGATAGGAACCCTGCATAAAGTACAGTCAGACATACAGTACCAGTCAGAAGTTTGGACACCTACTCATTCAAGGGTTTTTCTTTATTTTTTACTATTTTCTTCATTGTAGAATAATAGTGAAGACATCAAAACTATGAAATAACACACATGGAATCATGTAGTAAACAAAAAAGTTTGTCATTTCCATGTAATTTCTAAGTTAATACCTGGTCATTTGCGTACCAGCAAGCAACATAATTTGTTAGATGATCTCATGGTTTTGGATTAAGATCATGTCCTGATGATGTTGGTTGGAAATAAACCTGTAGCGGCAGAGATGAGATGACAGATCAACACAAACAGATGAGTGGGAATGAGAGGAACTGGACTGGACACTTCTGTTCTGGAACAGAAAGAAAATGCATTCACACGTTTTACATAAACACAAAAACAGTTTAATGAATAAATAACATCACAAACAACCACAATGAACAGTCTGATTCATAGAGATGGGACTGTGACCCTGGAATAAGAGAAGGAATGTCTTCCTATGTACCTGAGGAAGAGAATGAGGGATGGTTTCCCAGACACAGATTAAGCCTAGTCTTGAACTAAAAAGAGAATCTCGATTGAACATGTTTCCCAGTCCAGGACTAGGCTTAATCTGTGTCCAGAAAACAAGTGGGTAAGGAAAACCTGATTCTAGGCAGCCTCTTAGCTATCTTAATTAATTAAGCCAATATCCATGGTCCTACCATCATCTGCAACCAAGCACCATCAAGGAGCTTGTCTTATTGGTTGCCTTCAAGCTGGATAACCATGCTTTATCCAGTGGTTTGTGCAGTAATGTAGACCTCTAAAGATGCCAAACCGGGATATATTTTCACAGTGATCTGTAGTATCTAGTGACCAATAGCAGTGTCTACATTATATGAAACCAGAAACATTTAAGTACACAAAATATTCAATACATCATATTTTAATATAATTAGTATATCAACTCATTTAAAGGCAAGAGCCATGTATTTACACTACCTGCTGTGGAAAGGTAAAACATCATATCCCCACTCAATTCTTCCTATAGTAGTAAACATCCATGCGTTAATAAATAGTGGCTCAATTAAAAGTGATAAAAGCTATAGTGGCAATAATAGCCAAATGGGCTTTTTTTAATTGAATTTCTCAAAGGAAACTCCAGTTTCAGTACACTTCAGGTAAATCTCCTATGAATAATCTCTGGGATTTCTGTCCTCCATTTGGGAAACTTAAAGTGTCACTATGAAAGACTTTGCAAAGGGTTTAAGAAGTTAAGATAATGCATAGGTTAGAAAACAAACTGTAAAAAATAATCAGAAAACCCTTCCTCTAGGGATTTTTATGATAACTAGAAGAGGACAATAGGTGATTGTACAAACATGGGCTATGTCTCAACTTTTGCTCAATTGAACATCTTTTCTGGTTTTGAAGTGTTTGAAACCATTAGCTGATCCTGAACATACCCCAGTGGTTATTTTTGCAGTAATGGGAACAGGGTCAAAGCTTGTTCCCATTGATGAGAGTTTACTATCCATTCATGCAAGTGCTGCCAAGTGTTCAACTATATTTAAAAGAGCATGAAGGGCATATAATTTGTGTCACACATCTGATATAACACACTTGCCCTGGTCACACAGACAGAAATAGCTTAACTGTGTAGCACACTTTTTCAACCATCACAGCAAGCAAAATAACTATTGACCTTGGTCTAGTGAAGTTGGAGACTATGGGCCTAAACTCCCACAAGGGAAAGAAAAAGTAATTCTTTTTTTTCCATAAACGGGTTTACTCCATGTTGTGCAACTGTACACACACAATGACCCGAGAGTGATTTTTATTGGCAGACGAACATTAAAAGAACGTATCTGATCTCTTTTTTGGCTCCTGACTGGATTCCACTAGCTCGGTCCAGTGAAACAATTAGGAACCAAAAGATGACCAGCGAAGGGGCCAGCACTGCTGTCTAATAAAGTCTGTTACAGGCCATGTGTGGTCCTGGTTCGCATTCTAGTCGTGAACCAAGCCTCAGTTCACCTTATATGCCACACATTTAAACAGAACCCCCTTTAGCAGTCTCCACCTCCCCCTGAGTCAGTTCAGGGAACACCTCTCCTGCCCACTCCTCCCCCCTGTTGTCGCCGTCAGACTGTCCCACTCCCTGCTCCCTGGGGGTGAGGGGCTCTGTGTCACTGTCATCCCCTTCCACCACGGCTGTGTAGTCACTCTGGGTGGAGGTGGGGTCCCCCGGGCAACTCAGGCTGATCACGGAAGCCAGGCAGGAAAAGAGCAGGCCCAGCATGGCAATGTAGAAGCTCTCCCCTGGGTAAGCCTGCAACCCCACTGCCCCTCCCCCTCCCTGGCTCCTGGAGCCAGACCCAGGCCTAGGAGACCCAGACCCAGGCCAGGTCCAGCCCCCTAGCCAGTCCCACAGTAGCCCAAATTTGCCCTCCTGAAGGTTGCCGCTGATGACATACAGGCAGGCCCCGCACACTCCCAGCATGGACAGTAGGAAAACGACTGGGGAGAGTGGAAGGGAAAAGGAGAAAAAGAGACATGGAGGGAAAGGGAGAAAGACAGCGAGAGGATGAAATACGAATTAATCCCAGAGAGAACTGCAGAGTGATGTAAATCAACATGGCTCAGAAAACATGACTCATGTCATTTTATGAGACTTCATATTTTATGAGACCTGTGAGAGTGTATTCTTCTTCAAATTATGACTAGCGGTTAAGAGCGTTGGGCCAGTAACCGAAAGGTCGCTGGTTCAAATCCCTGAGCCGACTAGATAAAACATATGCAGATGTGCCCTTGAGCAAGGCACTTAACCCTAATTGCTCCTGTAAGTCGCTCTGGAGTAGAGCACCTGCTAAATGACTAAACATTTAAAAAATGTAAATTACAGTATTGTGATAAGCCCTCAGAGAGAGACAAACAGACAGAGAAAAACAGATAAGACAGCAAAAGAGACCGAAGGAGGAAGAACGTGAAAGAAAAAAGAGAGAATAAGAAAAGTGAGACCGAGATAGAAAAAGGGAGGGAGGTTAGGTTACCTGTGGAGATGTGGAGTGACACCACCAGTCGAGGGTGGGACATCCCAGTCCCCAGGAAGTCCAATAGGAAGGAGGAGCTGGAGAGCAGGACAGCACTGTAGCACAGAGCCGCCAAAGCATAGAGCAGCCACATCCCCCAGCCGTTAACACCACCCAGAGGACCTAAAGGGAGGGAACACACACATACTGTAAGTCAACACCACGCACATAAACACACACCGCACTCCCAGGCTTCTGCACAAGCAGGACGTAAATACGTTTAAGCTCACAAATATGGAAATACTGACGACCAGACATATGTGGGTGCAGTTAAACTGTAGAAAATGTCAACTCTACAGTGTCAAAACAGATGACAACTATGTGATAGCAGCGCAAAAAGACAAATGTCAACCAATCTCTTCTTTCACAGTCCAGCCTTGCCCTTCCCTACCTGTGTCAGTGAGGTTCTGGGCAGCGTGCAGTGTGAAGGCCACTCCATAGATGAGCTGTTTGCCTCCGGGGTCAGTACTGTTCCTGACCTGGATCCAGTTGGGGTCAGCGATGGACGTGCACAGAGACACCAGAGTAAAGCACTGGCACACCGCAGCCGGAGACATGCTCAGAGTCATGGCTGGAAGGAAGACACGATGTAGGTCTACTTATCAAGTCAGCCCCATCCATAACAATTTGTACAGTCTACTGTTGCTCAGAGACTTTGCAAAAGTTGCCAAATGCATAGAAGTAATGTCACCATTTAGGCCTGGTGTTTTACTAGATTTTCTTACTGTTTCAGACAAGTCATGTGTATGGTAACTATGCAGCACAGAATGCTGGTGCAGGTTGTAGGAACATTGACAGTGTAAACCTGATGTTGGGAAACCTAAAATGAGGATGTGAGAGATCTGTGGAATGGTTAGGTTTTACTAAGGCATCTGTCACTTAACCCTTCACTTACCAACAGATAGCTTAGCAATAATCCACTACAAAGTCTGCGAGAGACAAAAATGTAGACTAGCTAGCTACTTGCTGTTGAGGGATAACCTAGCCAAGTAAAACTCAACTCCACTATGTATTTCACATCAACATTGTGGAGTTGAGTTTTACTTGGCTAGGGATAACCAAGTGCCACAAATAAAAACTAAAGTCATGTGACACAACTGAATTGTCTATTGTTCAGCATATTGTCTGAAAAGCAAGCTACAGTGCCATCAGAAAGTATTCAGACCCCTTGACTTTTTCCACATTTTGTTGTGTAACAGCCTGAATTTAAATTGGATTAAATTGAGACTTTTTGTCACTGGCCTACACACAATACCCCATAATGTTAGACATTTTTACAAATTAATTAAAAATGAAAAACTGAAATGTCTTGAGTGAATAAGTATTTAACTCCTTTGTTATTGCAAGCCTAAATAAGGTCAGGAGTAAGAAATGTCCTTAACTAGTCACATAATAAGTTGCATGGACTCACTGTATGCAATAATAGTGTACTCCACACATACAATTATCTGTAAGGTCCCTCAGTCGAGCAGTGAATTTCAAATACAGATTCAACCACAAAGACCAGGGAGGTTTTCCAATGCCTCGTAAAGAAGGGAACCTATTGGTAGATGTGGGAAAAAAAGAAAAAAAAAGCAGACATTCAATATACCTTTGAGCATGGTGAAGTTATTAATGACACTTTACACTACAAAGATACAGGCGTCCTTCCTAACTCAGTTGCCGGAGGGGAAGGAAACCGCTCAGGGATTTCACCATGAGGCCAATTGTGACTTTAAAACAGTTACAGAGTTTAATGGCTGTGATAGGAGAAATCTGAGGATGGCTCAACAACATTGTAGTTACTCCACAATACTAACCTAATTAACTGAGGGAAAAGAAGGACGCTTGTACAGAATATTCCAAAACATGTATCCTGTTTGCAACAAGGCACTAAAGCAATTAACTTTTTGTCCTGAATACAAAGTGTTATGTTTGGGGAAAATGCAATACAACACTTTACTGAGTACCACTCTCCATATTTTCAAGCATAGTGGTGGCTGCATCATGTTATGGTTATGATTGTAATCATTAAGGACTGGAACGTTTTTCCGGTTAAAAAAAGACATTGGAATGGAGTGAAGCACAGGCAACAAACATCCTAGAGGAAAACCTGGTTAAGTCAGCTTTCCACCAGACAATGGGAGATTACTTCACTTTTCAGCAGGACAATAACCTAAAACACAAGGCCAAATCTACACTGGAGTTGCTTACCAAGAAGATAGTGAATGTTCCTGAGTGGCCGAGTTACAGTTTTGACTTAAATCTACTTGAACACCTATGGCAAGACCAGAAAATGGTTGTCTAGCAATGATCAACAACCAATTTGACAGCGCTTGAAGAATTTAGAAAAGAATAATGGACAAATTAAGCACAATCCAGGTGTGGAAAACTCTGAAGACTTACCTATGAAGACTCACAGCTGTAATTTCTGCCAAACGTGCTTCTACAAAGTATTGACTCAGGGGTGTGAATACTTATGTAAATGAAATATTTATGTATTTCATTTTCAATACATTTTAAAAAAAATGTCTAAAAACATGTTGTTTTCACTTTGCCATTATGGGATATTGTGTGCATATAGGTGAGGAAAAACATATATTTAATTTTTTAAAAAATATTCAGGCTGTAACACAACAAAATGTGGAATAAGTCAAGGGGTATGAATACATCCTGAAGGCACTGTATATGGGTGTATAGTCAGGCATTGCGATATTTCACATTTACAACGTCTCTCGTGCCCTGAATTAACTCAAGAGAATCAGTTGTCAATCAAGTATCTATAGTTGGCTAGCATGCGCTTGCTATTTCAGATGCACGCGCACAATAATAACAACTCTGCACAGGCTTGTTCATTCGGAACTAGCTAGGCTAGCAAATGGCTAACGTTACTTACCAGAACTACGAAAACAAGGAAATCCACGAACATACAATCTATTTGTGGCTAAAGATATGTTTTTTCCTGAGCCAACATAATCTAAATCCAATTCGAAGCACGGGATTATCTAACTTTCATTTAGCTGACGCTGGCTGTAGACAGTCTTCCGGGATGACCGGAAATTACAAACACGAGTGTAAGGTTGTCACTAGTAACCACAGCCACAAAGACTATATCGTAAAAATTCCTGCAAACAAAAATGTGCCTTTTGGTCTTATTTTAAGATTATGGTTTAGCATAAAGTTAACAGTGTGGTCAAGGTTAGGTGTAAAATAATTTATGAAATAAATTGATTAAATAGTTTATGACTTTGTGGCTGTGGTAACTAGTGACGACCCGAGTGCAACGATGTGCAAACAATTAACCTATAGGGGATCGGTGTCCCGTATAAGGGACGGTTGAGCTAACGTGCGCTAATGTGATTAGCATGACTGCTGTAAGTAACAGCAAACTTTCCAGGAAATAGACATGTCTTATATGGGCAGAAAGCTTACATTCTTGTTAATCGAACTGGACAGTCCAATGTACAGTAGTAAATAAATTTACAGTAGTAAATGAATGTAAATAATGTATTTACATTCAGTAATCTTGCTCTGATTTGTCATCATAAGGGTCCCAGATATAAAATGTAGCATAGTTTTGTTTGATAAAATCAAATTTTATATTCAAATGTATGAACTGGGTTCTACAGTTTGAACCCCTGCTGTCTCTGGCTCCACACTGCCCGGCCATCTAGATGTGTGAAAGTTAGTGTATAAGCTAATGATCCATCATGTATGACATTCCTGGGAGTGTGTAAACTTACATTTTGTATTACCATATCATTTTTGTATGTTCTCTATAGTTATGTACTTGAAAATGTATCAGTTGACCAATTTGGCACATTTGGGCAGACTTGATACAAAATAGTCCAGCATTGCAACGCTTCACTGGATCAATCTGAAACTTTTCACACACAGTGTTGCCATCTAGTGGCCAAAATCTAAATTGCACTTAAACTGCAATATTATATCGTGGCCTTTCTCTTTCAAAGATGGAACAAAAAAAAGAATAGAAAACACATGTTTTTTTATAATTTTTTACCAGATCTAATGTGTTATATTCTCCTACATTAATTTCACATTTCCACAAACTTCAAAGTGTTTCCTTTCAAATAGTATCAAGAATATGCATATCCTTGCTTCAGGTCCTGAGCTACAGGCAGTTAGATTTGGGTATGTCATTTTAGGCAAAAATTTTAAAAAAGGGTCCGATCCTTAAGAGGTTTTAAAAAGTCAGGGACATTTATGTAATTAACTAGCTAATCCAACAAACCATAAATTAAGATTTTTGCATACTGTAAAATGATTTACCCATCTGACAGGTTCACATGAATCCCACCAAGGAATCAACAATGTGCTATAAAATCTGGTACATAAATCTGCTCTAAGGATGCAATGATGTGCAACAATATGTGGGGTATACTCAAGGAATATAACTGTGGGTTGTGATTGTATGGCCGAGTTTAAGATACAAATATATATGAGCTGGAAAGACAGAAAAAGAGGCAACATCAAAAACCAATTCAAATGTCAACTTTATTCATATACAGTCCGTATACTGAGTATAATGACAAAAACCAAGATAATCCAATAATCCAGTGTATGAAATTATAATTCTGAGTCTGTACCAGTATGAGTGTTGCCTAATGTGTTTGTTTAATGCTTCATTGCTTATCCAAGTTTGGCATCACAAATCTGGCAGCATTGGATATTTCAGTTTTTACTGTAGATTGATGAGGGAGTTTCTAGTTTTGGCAAAATCTGCAAAATCTGTCCACATGTGTGTTGTGCGTGTCTGTGTATTCCCCATTAGGCGATGTTTCGTATCTCGGGCGTGAGGTTGATGAGTGAGTTACTGGCCTGGGCCAGCTCGCTGATAGAGACCCTCCCTCTCTGTTTGATGAACTGAGCCACGGCGTTCAACTCTTCTGGCGTGATGGAGATAAACTTCCCTCTGTCGTCGATCACTCCTGGAGAAAATAACAAGAATAAAGATGGTCAGACGGCAGAGAAGCAAGACTGCCTGACTGTACTCATTTACTCTGAGAAAGTATGTTAATTTTGGCACACACACACACACTATCATTCACTTACCTGTGAGTTCACCATCAGCTAAGAGGTCCTGCAGTCTCGCAATTGCATCCTGTGAGCAAAGATTAGTTATGATGACCAATCATCTCCTTTCTCTCAACCACCACAAAACACACTAATATACCCTTGAACCTTGTGGAGATTCAACACAATCTGACACGCATATTTTATAAAGAGAACAGACCACTGAGTGCAGGAATCATAGTCTATGGCACCCTTTGACCATTTTCCAGCCATCACCCGCCACTCACCTGTGTGCGCATTCCAAAGTGTGACGCCAGGTCTTCCAGCAGTACTACCTTGGAGTCCTGTGAGAGAGAACCAGAGGAATAGAGGGTAAAAAGCCTATAGGTTGTTAACAATAGAACGTCACAATATGGTGCAGAGCGTTCGATTTGCCTGCTGGGGGGCAAGGAGACACCCTGCTCTGCTAAAACCATTGACAACTGAGTGCCCTTTTCAAGGGATTGTTAAATAAATGTTAAGTATTTGGTTGTAATATCATCACCACCTCTTGAACAGCATAGTCAGAACTACACATTTCCGATTATTCCATGCAAAACAATTGCACACATTTAGCTCTTTTATCAGAATTATACAGCAAGCAGCCTAACTGCATGCTTTTCATCATCAGTAAACATCAATTGATCATGTGATTTCAGATAAGTGACGATAGCCTCACAATATCTCAATATTGGCCACCGTTAATTGGACATTTGAGTGATCTAAAATAAAAGTGAAGTTAACTATATCTGATAAGTGTGAGTGGTTTAGGTTAATCTCCCATCCTTTGTGGGCTCTGCCTGTCAAGAAGGGCACATTTGCCAATGTACTGTTAGCTGATAATGTTTACTCATATTGTGTTGCTACCATGCTGTGTTGTCATGTGTTGCTGCCATGCTGTGTTGTTGTCTTAGGTCTCACTTTATGTAGTGTTGTGGTGTCTCTTGTCATGATGTGTGTTTGGTCCTACAATTTTATTTTTAATCCCAGTCCCCGCAGGAGGCCTTTTGACTCTTGGTAGGCCGTCATTGTAAATAAGAATGTTCTTAATTGACTTGCCTAGTTAAATAAAAGGTTCAATAAAAGAAAACAATTACTTGCAAGCTACAGGTAGAAACGTTGTACAGTTGGCTAAACATACAGTGCCTTCAGAAAGTATTCATACCCCTTGACTTATTCCACATTTTGTTGTGTTACAGACGGAATTCAAAATGGATTCAAAATATTTTTTCCTCCTCACCCATCTACACACAATACCCCGTAATGACAAAGTGAAAACATGTTTTTTGAAATCTTAGCAAATGTATAGAAAATTCAATACAGAAATATCTCATTTACATAAGTATTCAAACCCCTCAGTCAATTATTAGCTCAGAAAGTGTTTTGCATCATTACATACATCCGGGAAAAACGATTGGATATCAGAGTAACTCACCAGCATTACGACCAGGAACATGACTTTCCCGAAGCAGATCCTTTGTTTGCTCTCCCCAGGGCAACTGAACTGATTCCAGCGGCTGACCCAAAACATCGCCGGCGGAGGAGAGGCACTCGGAGCGGCCTGCTGGTCCGACTTAGGAGGCGCGCACACCACCCACCACTTCCAAGTATTCTACTCGCTAATGTTCAATCTTTGGTTAACAAAGTCGACGAACTACGGGCAAGGATTTCTTTCCAGAGAGACATCAAGGACTGTAACATACTCTGTTTCACGGGAACATGGCTCTATTGGGATATTCTGTCGAAATCAGTCCAGCCAGATGGGTTCTCAGTTCATCGCGCAGACAGGAATAAATATCTCTCCGGGAAGCAGAAGGGCGGAGGTGTGTGTTTCATGAATAACGACTCGTGGTGTAATTGTAGTAACATAGAGGAACTCGAGTCCTTCTGTTCACCCGACCTAGAATATCTCACAATCAAATGCCGAGCGTATTATAAGATAATTTTTTTCGGTTATAGTCACGGCCGAGTATATCCCCCCTCAAGCCGATACCACGACGGCCCTCAAAAGAACTTCACTGTACCTTATGCAAACTGGAAACAACATATCCTGAGGCTGCATTTATTGTAGCCGGGGATTTTAACAAAGCAAATTTGAGGACTAGGCTGCCGAAGTTCTATCAACATAGACACCATAGTACCCTCCAAGCTCATCATTAAACTCGAGGCCCTGGGTCTGAACCCCGCCCTGTGCAACTGGGTCCTGGACTTCCTGACGGGCCGCCCACAGGTGGTGAAGGTAGGAAACAACATCTCCACTTCGCTGATCCTCAACACTGGGGCCCCACAAGGGTGCGTGCTCAGGCCCCTCCTGTACTCCCTGTTCACCCATGACTGCGTGGCCAAGCACGCCTCCAACTCAATCATCAAGTTTGCAGACGACACAACAGTAGTAGGATTGATTACCAACAATGACGAGACCGCCTACAGGGAGGAGGTGAGGGCTCTGGGAGTGTGGTGGCAGGAAAATAACCTCTCACTCAACATCAACAAAACAAAGGAGATTATCATGGACTTCAGGAAACAGCAGAGGGTGCACCCCCCTATCCACATCGATGGGACCGCAGTGGAGAAGGTGGAAAGCTTCAAGTTCCTTGGCGTACACATCACTGACAAACTGAAATGGTCCACCCACGCAGACAGTGTGGTGAAGAAGGCGCAACAGAGCCTCTTCAACCTCAGGAGGCTGAAGAAATTTGGCTTATCACCTAAAACCCTCACAAACTTTTACAGTTGCATAATTGAGAGCATCCTGTTGGGCTGTATCACCGCCTGGTACGGCAACTGCACCGCCCACAACCGCAGGGCTCTCCAGAGGGTGGTGCGGTCTGCCGAACGCATTACCAGGGGACAAACTACCCGCCCTCCAAGACACATACAGCACCCGATGTCACAGGAAGGCCAAAAAGATCATCAAGGACATCAACCACCCAAGCCACTGCCTGTTCACCCCGCTATCATCCAGAAGGCGAGGTCAGTACAGGTGCATCAAAGCTGGGACAAAGAGAATGAAAAACAGCTTCTATCTCAAGGCCATCAGACTGTTAAATAGCCATCACTAGCACATTACAGGCTGCTGCTGCCTATTGAAATCACTGGCCACTTTAAGAAATGGAACACTAGTCACTTTAATAATGTTTACATATCTTGCACTACTCATCTCATATGTATATACTGCATTCTATAATATTATTCTGTATCTTAGTCCATGCCGCTCTGTCATTGCTTGTATGTATATATTCTTAAATCCCATTCCTTACTAGTTTTGTGTGTATTGGGTATATGTTGTGAAATTGTTAGATATTACTGCACTGTCGGGGCTAGAAGCACAAGCATTTCGCTACACCCGCTATAACATCTGCTAAACACGTGTATGTGACAAATACAATTTGATTTGATTTGAATGATTGGGGTCATTGTCCTGTTGGAACGGAAATCTTCGCCCCAATCTAAGATCGTTTGCACGCTGAAACAGGTTCTCACTAAGGATTTGCCTGTATTTGGCTCCATTCATTGTTCCCTCTATCCTTACCAGTCTCCCAGTCCCTGCTGCTGAAAAGCATCCCATAGCATGATGCTGCCACCACCATGCTTAATGGTAGGGATGGTGTTAGACGGGTGGTTGAGCTGTGCCTGTTTTTCTCCTCACATAGCGCTTTGCATTTAGGCCAAAGAGTTCAATTTGCCTTATCAGACCACATAATCCTTTGCCTTATGCTCTCTGAGGCTTTCCCATGCCTTTTTGCAAACTCCAGGATTGCGTTCATGTGCTTTTTTTCTCAGGAGTGGCTTCCGTCGGGCCACTCTCCCATAATGCCCAGATTGCTGAAGTGCTATAGAGACGGTTGTCCTTCTGGCAGGTTCTCCCATCTCAGCCAAGGAACTCCACAGTTCAGTCAGAGTGGTCAGTTGTTTCTTGGCCACCTCCCTGACCAAGGTCCTTCTTGCCAAGTTGCTCAGTTTGGTCGGACGGCCAGCTCTAGGCAGAGTCTGGGTATTTCCATATTTTGTAAATTTTCCAACGATTTAGACCAATGTGCTCTTGGAAACTTTCAACACTCTAGAAATAGTTTTATACCCTTCCCCAGATATATGCCGCATTACAATTCTCTGAGATCTACGGACCGTTTCTGCTCTGACATGCACTGTCAACTGTAGGACCTTATATAGACAGGTGTGTTTCTTTCTAAATCATGTCCAAACAATTGAATTGGCCACAGGTGGACTCCAATCAAGTTGTAGTGACATCTCAAGGATGATCAAAGGAAATTGGATGCACCTGAGCTCAACTTGGAGTGTCATAGCAAAGGGGTGTGAATACTTATGTAAATTAGATATCTGTATTTCATTTTCAATAAATCTGCAAACATTTCTAAAAACATGTTTTCACTTTGTCATTATGGGATATTGTGTGTACATGGGTGAGGAAGAAAATATATTTTGAATTCAGGCTGTAAGAACAAAATGTGGAATAAGTCAAGGGGTATGACTACTTTCTGAAGGCACTGTAGTGGTAAGTAGACCTAATGTACTTTTTTCTCCAACCAACGTAGGCCTACCTAGTGAAGTTAACACTATTCCCTTTAACATTGTTTTTAAGAGTGTTTAATCACCATTGCTGCTGACAGACATGATAGGCTACATTGATTGATGGACCATGTCAAATTGTATAGCTAGCTAATAACAGATCACATCAATATGGTTAGTTACCAAGCTAACTTTCAGGGGATAAAGTAGATGGCTTTATCCAAATATTGTTTGATTTGCTTGCCATCTAGTGGTGATGACAAAAGTCCAACTGGCAACTTTACCAGGACAAGGACTTGCTGATGTCAATCTCCTTTCTAATCTCTAAAGAAGCAAGCTAAATGACACGTTGTTTGATTAGCTAGCAAGCTAGCTAGCTAGCTACATGCCAAATGGTTAGGCTATCCTCACGCATCTGAAATTACATGATAAATTGAGGTTTACTGATAATGAAAAGCATGCAGTTACTTGCTATAGCCTATAACTCTGAAGATAGAGCGAAATGTGGAATAGTCAGAACTCTGTAGTTCTGACTATTCTCTTCAAGAGGTGATGATATTAAAACCAAATAGTTAACATTTATTTAAAATTCCCTTGAAAACGGCACGTAGTTGTCAAAGGTTTCAGTGGAGCTGGGGGTCTCCTTGTCCCTCAGCAGCCAACTCGAACGCTGTGCACCGTATTGTGACGTTTTATTGATAACGACCTATAGGTGTTGAGTGTACACTACAGTATATACAGTGTACAAAACATTAGAAACACTTTCCATTACATTTTTTGCTGTTTCCATGACAGACTGACCAGGTGAAAGCTATGATCCCTTATTGATGTCACTTGTTAAATACACTTCAGTCAGTGTAGATGAAGGGAGGAGACAGAAGGATTTTAAAGCCTGGAGACAATTGAGACATGGATTGTGTATGTGTGCCATTCAGTGGGTGAACGGGCAAGACAAAAGATGCCTTTGAACAGGGTATGGTAGTAGGTGCTAGGCGCACCGGTTTGAGTGTGTCAAGAACTGCAACGCTGCTGGGTTTTTCACGCTCAACAGTTTCCCGTATGTATCAAGAATGGTCCACCATCTAAAGGACATCCAGCCAACTTGACAAGGTGGGAAGCATTGGTGTCTACATGGGCCAGCATCCCTGTGAAACGCTTGACACCTTGTAGAGTCCATGCCCCAATGAATTGAGGCTGTTCTGAGGGCAAAAGGGGGTGCAACTCAATTTTAGGAAGGTGTTCCTAATGTTTTGTACACAGTGCATATGGTTCTGGTTAGGTTCCAGCTCATACCTTGATGTACTGGATGAACTCTTGTAGAAGGTTGCGTGACTATAAAAAAAGAACACAGAGATATTTACATAAAATAGGGATTTGATGCCAGGAACACGGTTAACAAGATTTACCGGGATTTACCACCCAAAACCACTCCCTTTATCCGGTATAAATAACTGCGAGAAACCGGTAAATAATAATAAATGATTTATATGAAAAGCATAGCGTGAAATGGAACTGTTAAATTACATGGGATGTCTAAATGTGGCTTCTCTACGGCCTCTGCATGATGAATCAACGCTCAGGGTGGGGAGAGACAGTCCATCTCAGTTGTGACGGGTAGGCCTGCATTTGCTGCAGCATAGCCTATGCTACAGTAATATAAAGACCAAATGCGCGTCTAATTTACCCATCTCCATCTGGCTTTCGGGGGTGACCTTGTTTTGTTATTATAAATATATATATATATTTTTTTTTATTGCAGAGTTTTAAAACAGCCTATCAGTCGAATATCGTTGCTTTAAAATCAGTGCACACGTGAGCACTCTCTAGCAGTCTCTCTCTCTCCATCAACTCCATTGAAATTGCATCCAAAATAGATCATCCTGTTCTAGATAGATAGATATGTATGTGTAATATCTATCTATATATACACACACATATATATATATATATATATATAGTACCGTTCAAAGGTTTGGACACACCTCATTCAAGGGTTTTTCAAATTTTTTACTATTTTCTACATTGTAGAGTAGTAGTGAAGACATCAAAACTATGAAATAACACATATGGAACCATGTAGTAACCAAAAAAAGTGTTAAACAAATCAAAATATATTTTATATTTGAGATTCTTCAAAAAGCCACCCTTTGCCTTGACAGCTTTGCACACTCTTGGCATTCTCTCAACCAGCTTCACCTGGAATGCTTTTCCACAGTCTTGAAAGAGTTCCCACATATGCTGAGCACTTGTTGGCTGCTTTTACTTCACTCTGCGGTCCGACTCATCCTAAACCATCTCAATTTGGCTGAGGTCGGGGGATTGTGGAGGCCAGGTCATCTGATGCAGCACTCCATCACTCTCCTTCTAAGTCAAATAACCCTTACACAGCCTGGAGGTGTGTTGGGTCATTGTCCTGTTGAAAAACAAAGGATAGTCCCAAACCAGATGGGATGGCGTATCGGTGCAGAATGCTGTGGTAGCCATGCTGGTTAAATCATAGATAGTGTCACCAGCAAAGCACCCCCACACCATAATAATAATAATATAATATAATATGCCATTTAGCAGACGCTTTTATCCAAAGCGACTTAGTCATGCGTGCATACATTTTTGTGTATGGGTGGTCCCGGGGATCGAACCCACTACCTTTGCGTTACAAGCGCCGTGCTCTACCAGCTGAGCTACAGAGGACCACCTCCTCCATGCTTTACGGTGGGAACTACACATGTGGAGCTCATCCGCTCACCCACTCCGCGTCTCACAAAGACACAGCGGTTGTAACCAAAAATCTTCAATTTGGACTCCAGACCAAAGGCCAGATTTCCACTGCTTGTGTTTCGACCACGAAGGCCTGATTTACACAGTCTCCTCTGAACAGTTGATGTTGAGATGTGTCTGTTACTTGAACTCTGTGAAGCATTTATTTGGGCTGCAATTTCTGAAGCTAGTAACGCAAATGAACTTATCCTCTGCAGCAGAGGTAACTCTGGGTCTTCCTTTCCCATGAGAGCCAGTTTCATCATAGCGCATGATGTTTTTTGCGACTGCACTTGAAGAAACTTTCAAAGTTCTTGAAATGTTCCGTATTGACTGACCTTCATGTCTTAAAGTAATGATGGACTGTAGTTTCTCTTTGCTTATTTGAGCTGTTCTTGCCATAATATGGACTTGGTCTTTTACCAAATAGGGCTATCTTCTGTATACCAACCCTACCTTGTCACAACACAACTGATTGGCTCAAATGCATTAAGAAGGAAAGAAATTCCACAAATTAACAAGGCACACCTGTTAATTGAAATGCATTCCAGGTGACTACCTCATGAAGCTGTTTGAGAGAATGCCAAGAATGTGCAAAGCTGTCATCAAGGCAAAGGGTGGCTATTTGAAAAATCTCAAATATAAAATATATTTTGATTTGTTTAACACTTTTCTGGTTACTACATGATTCCATGTGTTATTTCATAGATTTGATGTCTTCACTATTATTCTACAATGTAGTAAATTGTAAAAATAAAGAAAAACCCTTGAATGAGTAGGTGTTCTAAAACTTTTGACCGGAAGTGTGTGTGTGTGTGTATATATATTTATATAAAAAAAATTGTCTTTGGAAATCGATCCGCGGGCCTACAAAAGGGGTTAATGTCGACAGGCACTTAAACCTGTGACTGGACTATGTGAATACACTAGTAAACTACCTCTTCCTCTGTGACATCATCAGCTTCACCCTGCTCCTCGACGACGAAGGACTCTTTGAGCCTTAGGTACTCCTCTTCCTCCTTCTTCTCCTGCTCCTCTTTGGCCCGCCGCTCCTCTTCCTCCTAAAAGGAAAATAATAATAGGAGAAAGAAGGAATGAGTGCAAAAGTGGGAATAGGAAGTGATGTGTCTACCTGCATCTGTGTTCAAAAGAGTGAGACAGTGAGTGTATGTGTGTTTTATTACCTCTTTCTGCTCCTGTTGTCTCTCCTTCTCGTCCTCCTTGCTTCTCTCCTGCTCTCTGAGCTCCTGCATTTTCTTCCTTTCCTCTCTCTCTGCCAGCTCAGCCTGAGGAACACAGCATCAAACCCAGTCGCCAGAAGAACACTTGCAAACATCAAACAAAATGATATGAAAACGCAGGGTGAGTCAAAGCAATATGGTGGATGCCCTTCACCTGCCCTGTTCTATCACAGCAGTGCAGCTGAGGGGAGAAAGCCATTTTAGACTATTGACTAGGGCTGTGACGCAATATTTTTTCCATGGCAAAAATGAAAACACGAAGCAGGCCAAACACTTTGGTCCTTTAAAAACCTGCTGTATGTAAAATATTGTGTGCTATAGCTTGGAAAATAAATGTGACTCTAGATGACAACATAATGATGTTTGTTTCCAACATTAGGGCTGTTTTCCTAAAAAAGTTAAATCCGCTTCATGTTTTGTTTCCTTGCCACGATACTAACAAGTATTGTGATACTGGTATCGTCCCGGCCCTACTATTGATTGACATGCTACTGATGACATATTATGGACAATCTCCAATAGAGAACTGTTCTCCAGCTGTTCCAGAGTGGTAATACCTCTCTCTGAGCCCGTTTGGCCTGTTTCTCCTCCAGTTTCCTCTGCTTCTTGGCTCCCAACTTCCCTGTGGCCTGGAACTGCTGTTCCTCCTCTTCTTCCTGTTCCTCCATAGCCACTTCCTCTACAGGGCTGTCCTCTGAAGGAGCATTCACACATGTGTGAAACTTTATTTTCACAGTAGAAACGCATGTGATACTCGTGTGTGTGTGTCAGGTGTGTTACCGTTGTCGGATGCGTCCCTCTGGGCTCGCCTCTGGGCCATCACCCTGCTGTTGAGATTTCTACGGCGACGGGGCATGCCCACCCCACGCTCCTCGGCCACCTGAGGGCGAGGAGCTGCCACCCGAGGCAACACATCCTGCCTCTGTTCACGGTCAGCTGGAGAGAGAGAGAGGGCGGGACAATTATGAATTCCAGATTATTGGGTCAATTTAGCCCAAAAACGAGTACACATATGCTGTGAGAGAAGTAACGAGCTGGAGTTAGCACGCTATAAATAGCCAGTGTTAAACACGAATAGCAACTGTATTGCTAACGTTAGCTGTTTCAGTATTGGTGTCGTTAGCCAAATGCTCGGTAGCTACCGTTAACTCCTTACCTTCCTCTGTCTTTCCTCGTACCTTCACAGCAAAAACGATCAACACAATAAGGATTGCTGCAGCAATCAAATACACCACAATATCCATCGCAAATTTAAAATGGCTGTTTTAGATTCTATGAATTTCACATTTCAAACTATTCTCCACCATAACAGACACGTATGTTCTGGTGTTCTTCAGAGACCCCTGTCACGTGATCTTTTTCTTCAAGTTTCTATTAGCGAATCGCAACCAACTGACAGGTGCTTACACCGCCATCCACTGTACTGGAGTGTGAGGCCGGTCACGACCTACTTATAACACTATATTCACTTAACTAACCCAGAATTTCGAAGAAAATTTAATATTTCCCTACAAACCTCTACTCCCATCACCCCCACCCCCATTCCAGTCCAACCTCTCTGACCCTGTCAAACAACCTCTCTCTTTCTACATCATACATTTCACAAAATAATAATACATGTTCCACCGTTTCCTCTACAATTCAGCCATTACACATTCCAGTACCATGTTTCCCTATCAATTTCAAAGCCCAATTCAATATTGTATGTCCAAATCTCATCCGACACAACATAACTTCCTCCCTTCTATTCCCATTATATGACACTATCTCCCGTACAGATTTCCTTGTACTATAAACATTTCTGCCCTCACTACTTTCACCCAATTGTCTCTGCCAGCAATCTAACCCATTTTTCAGAATCAATGTTTTACTTTCCCCTCTACCCAACTGCACCTGTCTATCCACAATATAATTTTTCACTGCTTTTTTTGCTAATATATCTACTATATAATTTCCATAAACTCCTGTATGAGCCGGAATCCAACAGAACTGAATTTCAATAACATTTCTTTGTAATCCCAACAACAGCATAATTATTTCTAACCATAAATCTCTCGTTCTGACTTTCCAGATCTTAAACTACACAAAACTGATGCAGAGTCCGAACATATTACTACTCTTCTTGGTTGCACCTCCTATATCCATTGCAATCCAACAATTATCGCAACTATTTCTGTTGAATATACAGATCCATAATTTGTTAGTCTCTTGCATAGATTAACATCGAACTCAATAATAAATACACCTGCTCCTGTCTTCCCATTCATGGGATCATTTGAACCATCTGTATTCATTGCAAGGCAAGAATAAAACTGAGTACTAATATATTGACCCGCTATTGTTCCTACATGAACTTCTTCACACCACTGTTTCTTTTCTTCGATCAGGCTAAGATCAACATGTGATCTTTTATAAAACCACGGTGGCACATTTCCTATTGGCACCGATGGCACTATAACAAGGTCCCTGAGTCCATATTCATCAAGCCTTTTCCCAATCTCTGGACCAAAACCCCTCTTTTGATTCATATTCCCATTAGTCTTCCAATACTGTCAGTATAGGATGATCTACCGTACTACCCTTCAGTCTTGCCCAGTATGCCAGAGCTAGTTTAACTCGTCTAAGATATAGCGGCATTTCCGCAGTATCTACCTGTAAAGCCTCAACCGGTGTCGTTTTAAATGCACCATCGCACATCCTGAGTGGCCTCGCTTGCATGCTATCAAGGCCGCAGAACCATATACAAAGCACCCCTGTCACGTGATCAACTAGCGTCGTCTCATTTTTAGATGTGAACTCATAGAGCGTGAAATACCAACACCGTTACCGTATGGCTAGACAAATTCATAGCATAAAGACCGCAAGACGCTACAGAGGGTGGTGAGTATGGCCCAGTACATCAATGGGGCCGAGCTCCCTGCCATTCAGGCAGTGGCGTGTATTCATGGAGCCAAGGGAAGCCAGACTTCCCCAAAAAATTTACCAAGAAAAAAAGATAAATATAAATAATGTATATTTTGTCTCTGTTTCATAATTGTTCTTCAAATCGCAAGAGGCTGAATGTATCTCACCGGGAAAAGGATCCGAGCGAGCGAAACAGCGCCCCTCTGTCTCTGTATGTGTAGGCCATCTATCTGACGCTGTCTGGTCCAAAGGAGTATGACATTGTTGCCGCCCATAGCGTTGAAATCAAGAGAAGCCAGAGAGCATTTGGCCTCCTTTGATAAAAAAAACTATAACATAATAGCCAATCAACGTTGAGCTGTGAGGGGAATGGCACCTCCGTACCTTCAGGCTCTGATCAGTCCCTACACCCAAACGAGGGCATTGCGTTCATCCACCTCTGGCCTGCTGGCCCCCCTACCTCTGCGGAAGCACAGTTCCCGCTCAGCCCAGTCAAAACTGTTCGCTGCTCTGGCACCCCAATGGTGGAACAAGCTACCTCACGACGCCAGGACAGCGGAGTCACTCACCACCTTCCGGAGACACTTGAAACCCCACCTCTTTAAGGAATACCTGGGAAAGGATAAAGTAATCATTCTACCCCCCCTTACCCCCCCCCCCCCCCAAAAAAAAATAATAATACATATTGTAAAGTGGTTATCCCACTGGCTATAAGGTGAATGCACCAATTTGTAAGTCCCTCTGGATAAGAGTGTCTGCTAAATGACGTAAATGTAAATGTAAACCGAGTGAGCTCAACTGTGAATGGTCCTGGTGCACCAAAAAAAAGTGTAAAGGGAAGTCAGTTTGGACTTGACATCAATCCTATAAAATCGCATTGAGAGCATATGTCATTGACAGAAACAACTTGATTTGTTGCATCTGGTTGTGTTGATGTCCTCCGGTGGCTAGCTAGCTAAAATGGTCCCTTTCCTAAATTAGCCATGGATGGAGATAGGGATTTGGACTTGTGGTTTTACTTAATTCTCTGTACTGCCAATTATTATAACGGCGATTCTGATCCAACCATTAATTCATAAATTGTGCCACTGGCCTGAGAAGATGAAAGTTCAATATGTTGCTAGATGTAGAAGGCTAATGTTAACTAGCTAACGTTGCCCATGAAAGGAAGTTAGGCTAGCGAGCAAGCATTTTAGCCAGGTAGCCTAGGACAACAAAAAATAAAAGCATGTACTGTATGACAGAGTGATAGACCGTTTTGTCAACATGAAAGAGAGGAGGGTGGCATTGGAATTTCTCTAAAGGTATGATGAGTCAACATGTTTTTTCTACTTGCACGAACACACACAGAAATCAGAACCATGGACAGCCACATCATATTTAGTTCATGTTGATTGGACTAAATTGTTTTTGGTATCTTTTAGTTGTCACTGTATTAGACTAAACATAGGTGATTTCATGATGTTGAAATGGTGTTGGAATAGTGGATGGAGCTCCTGTTTTATAATATATGCCATTTAGCAGACACTTTTATCCAAAGCGACTTACAGTTATGCATGCATACATTTTACATATGGGTGGCCCTGAGAATCGAACCCACAACCCTGGCGGTGCATGCGCCATGCTGTACCATCTGAGCCATACAGGTTTTCTTTGCGATTTGCTGTAACTCTCCGTGGTTCTAAATCAATAGTTGTTTAGTGGTCCGAAAATGTCTGACATATTAACTTGCTTGACCATGCTGTAGGTCATGTAACTGTTTGTTGCATGCAATATGCTTTGTGTACTTCACTGGACAGAAGTTGCTCTCCGGTTTTGTGATGAAACAAAGGTGTGGTAAAAAAAATTCTGCCACTGTGTCTTCTTATTGTCTCGGCCTTTAGGCATATATCACAGTCACAAGGCATGTTAACTAAGAGGTTATAGAGCAAACAACGCAATTATCACAACACATAGGTTGTAATATGGTTTATTTTTCTGGCTTCCTCTGTGAATTTACCTACGCACCGCTACTGCATTCAGGACCTCTATACCAGGTGGTGTCAGAGGAAGGCCCACATTTTTTTCAAAGACTCCAGCCACCCAAGCCACAGACTTTTCTCTCTGCTACCACATGGCAAGCGGTACCAGTGCATCAAGTCTGGAACCAACAAGATCCTGGACAGCTTCTACCCCCAAGCCATAAGACTGCTAAACAAGACCGCTAAATAGCTAATCAAATCGCTACCCGCACTAACTCTCTTGCACTGACTCTGTGCACACACACTGGACTCTACCCACACACTCACACATACTGTACTTATACTGACACCCCAACACACACATATATACACACACACTACATACACCCACACAAACATAACATGCGCACACATGCATATTGATGCCACACACACACACACTTTCACACTCCCCACATACGCTGCTGCTACTGTCTATTCTCTATCCTGTTGCTTAGTCACTTTACCCCTACTATATGTAGGGCTACCTCAGTACTGGTACTCCCTGTATATAGTAATGTTGTTATTTTTAGCTGATTATTGTTATTTGTTATTCACTGTGTATTTAATCCTCGTGTCACTATTTCAATTTAAATCTGCATTGTTGGAAAAGGACCCATAAGTAAGCATTTCATTGTTTAAAAAAATAAATAATTAGGAGGGTAGATCAGCTTTAATGTCACGTCTCCTCCCGTTGCTCCCCTCCTCCTGCGCTCTGATTCGCCGGTCTACTGAGCCACCCGTCTGAGCGCACCACCTCGGCAACACCGGAATAGAAACCCAACGCACCCTATTCACCTCCAGCGCACCTGCACCTCATCATCTCATCACCACCCCTATATAGCCCTGGACTGTTCCATGTTGTGTCGTGTGATTGTTAGTGTCATGTCGTGTACGCGCTCTTTGTTGTTCTCTTGCTCAGTGTTACATAAACCTATACATTGTTGATTTCTGCGTCCTACCTCTTCGTGTCCTCGTCACATTTAATATTGCAGATAGATTGTGGCTTCCATCAATGTAATTGTCTGCATAATTTCCAATCCCCCATATATATTTTTTGTAAATATATATATTAAATATATAGTTTTAAAATATATATTCCTTTATTATTTTCCACTAACCCTACCACCCGTCACCTAATTGGAGTAAACTAATGGACAACAACACTTAGGCTTCTACTTCCAGCTTATACATACTATATACATTTTACAGACACAGTATATTTTACAATAGTTATCTTTTGTTTGTTTTTAGTCCCATCCTTCAGCTCCACTCAACCCCTCCCATCTATCTCTGAACACCATCCAGTTTTCTATTTGCCATATATTTTTCAACTATGCTGTGATGTTTTACAAAAGTTCTGAACCTTTCTATTATCATCGATTCTACATATTGTAAATTAAAGATAAACATTTTTGCTAAGAGTATTATTGATGGATTTACTATGATTTTTTAA